CGTGATCAGATCACGTTCTCCGGCGTTCTCAGCCCCGATCAGACCTGAAACCGATCCGAATTCACCTGTGGACCCAAAATTCGAACTCCTGCACTCTATGCAACATGAACCATGCAATCTACCATAGATTCAATCATCAAACATGCATAGATATCAAAGCAAACATGGATTCAAACAATTCAAATCCTAAAACGTGCGTGATCGGGTTCTACGAAATCAAAACAGAGCAACCAGGCTCTGATACCACTGTTGGGTTTCCTGGGATCTCTAGAGCGAATCCTATTCCTAAGAGATCGATTCTAGGATTTGCACAGCGGATATAAAACAAAAATTTAATACACCCTAGAACCATGCTTCTAATGAATCGTAGAAACGTTAGAACGCTTACCTCAATCGATCCGGGGCCTGTATCAACTGAAGAATTCGTTCGATCACTTAGGCAGGAAGATTACCTCGCCCTCTACACGTATCCACACCTCGGGATGGATTCGATATGTGCACCGAGAAATCTCGAGACTTAGAACTCGTTTTTGGATCTCCAAAAACCCTCTATTTTCTGCCAAAAGTCGGCTCTATTTTGTCTCTCACAAGTTAGGGTTTAGCACACGTACTTGTCCATCCCTATTGTGTGTGACCCTGTAGGCTCATCCGATATAGCAGTATAACACGAAATCTCTTATTTCGGTTACACAAGTCATAGGCGGTCTCTAGCAAGACACTATGACTACCTATCTCGAATAGAGTTTGTTCGTGATCTTTACGAACGCCAGAGATGATTCCGGTTGATGATCCTTTTGTATCATGATATCATATGTCGAACATAAGGCATGGACAAGCCACCTTATCTGATTCGACTGCTTTCTTGTTCACTGAGTTCGACTGTCTGAAATAGACGACGTTCGTCTATAGTGCGGCCACACATTTCTACAGTCTCGCTCACACGAGGGGCCCAGCGATATCTCTCTCTTTTACGAGAGGTACAAATCACGTCTTGACTATCTACAATCCAGTACATGATTCGTTTCGTACCTGATACACGCCTTTATAGTTCTCCTGTTACGCAGAACGTTTGACGTATTCAAAGCACGCAACTCCTCATGTTGGATTCCGTAGATATCTCAGGTCTTAGGATCCAATCATGGAACTGCCATATGAGATTCAAGTCATGACGCTAGTCCATGTGACAATCTCATGCGGGTCAATCCAGTATTCCGTTCTCCAACGAATACCTATGACTGTGATTGTATCCAATACCTATGATCAACGCTATGATCATCACTCACACATCATACTAGTCTTATTATGTCGTTATTCCCATAACGACACAAGACTAGGGAGTTTAGTATCATTCATAATGATACATGGATTTCATAACAGATATAGTATGCAAGAACATGTAATGAATCAAATACTCTCATAAAACCATAGAAAGTATCAATACATCGAATGTATCTAAAGAAAGCTCATAAACAGTACATCATAGAGCACTAAACCAACAGATACAACATGACCCAAGAAACCAATCTCCTGTAACTAGAAACTGCATTTGCTGAACTTTGCATACAGACGGTGCTCTCTTAGTTTATACAAAATGTTCCTCAAACCCGGATCTGATGATATCTCGATCGTAAGTCAATCTCCGAGAACCACTTGGCCCCCTGCGTTGATCAAGTAGCTCATCAATCCTCGACAGCGGGTACCGATTCTTGATTGTCACTTGATTGAGCCTACGGTAATCGATACACAGACGCATACTCCCGTCTTTCTTTTTCACAAAGAGTACCGGTGCTCCCCACGGTAAAACGCTCGGACGTATAAACCCGTTCTCCACCAACTCGTTAAGTTGCTTCTTTAGTTCTGCCATTTCTGTCGGTGCCATCCGGTACGGAGTCTTAATGATCGAATCTGTGCCTGGTAGTACATCAATGCTGAATTCCACTTTCCTCTTCGGCGGTATCCCTGGTAAATCATTCGGAAATTCCTGAGCAACAGGTGTATCTTCCAAACTCTTCTCCGGTTCTTTAGTAGCCGTGATAACCACTAAAATTGCATCGTTGCCCTTTCTGATCATCTTTTCGGCTTTCAGCGTCGAGATGATCGAGTCTGTCGATGGTGTTCCTCTTCTTTTAAATTCAAAACCTCCGGAATCTTCTTGAAACCAGATCGTCCTCTGGGGACAGTCGATATAAGCCTGGTATTTCATCAACCAGCCCATGCCCAGTATGAGATCATAGAATCCTATGAGTACCACAACAAGGTCTGCTGTCATTCGTCGGCCGCATATGTCAAGGGGTACGCCACGCAAAGTCCTTTGAACCGTAAGGGTTTCCCCTGCCGGTGTACGTACTGTAAAGTTGCTTATCGGATCGACCTTTCCTGTACCGATTCTCTCCACTATATCCGCGCTCAAAAAACTGTGAGTCGCTTCAGTGTCAAACAATGTGTAACAGGACACCCCGTATAAGTGAAGGGTACCTATTAAATTTTTGTTTTACATCCGCTGCGCAAACCCTAGAATCGATCTCTTAGGAATAGGATTCGCTCATGAGATCCCAGGAAACCCAACAGCATCGACCTCGACTCCGTCGACATGAACCTCCTCCTCTTGGATCTCCTGCTCCGCTTCTAGGGCATAAACCCTCGGGGCCACTCCAGTTTCAGCCAGAGGTCTCGGTGGTATAGCCACTCGCGCTTGCAGCTCTGCGGGTCTCACCGTGCAATATGCCGCAAAGTGTTCTGGCTGCTGGCACCGATAGCAGACAGGTGGCCCTCTCCGAGGTGGCGGAGGTAATGCCTGGGTGACTGGCGCCTTACCCTTGTTTTGCACTCGGCTGCTCTGGCCAGTCTGACTAGTCTTCCCGACGGACGCGTATAGGGATGGCGTCTAGGAGGACTTCGGTCACGGGCCCTGCTGGCTCTCTCCTCCTTTTTCGCTTCCTCTGCTTTCTCCATCTGGTCAATGCAATGGCTCAGAGTTCGGAACTCGTGGAGCGTGACTCTCCAGCGGAGTGAGGGTCGTAGTCCCACAACGAACTTAGTGATCTTCTGGCTCTCTAGGGACACCAGATGCGCCGAATACTTAAGCATGCGTACGAATTCAGCTTCGTACTCCCTCACAGTCATGTTCCCTTGCTGCAGGTTCAGGAACTCAGAGAAGCGGCGTTCTTGATTCTGTCGACGGTAGTACTTCCTCTCAAAATCCTCCTTGAATTCCTCCCAGGTGAAATGATGTCCGTCCGCCATCTCCTGTACCACCTTCTCCCACCAATGTCGAGCTTGCCCGGATAAGTGATGGCTCGCTAGTAGCGCTCGATAACGTAGGGGACACTGAACATATTCCAGGACTCGTGTGATGCATGTCATCCATTCTTCTGCAGCCTCGGGATCCAGCGATCCTCCAAACCTTGGAGTGTGCATGGCCCGTAACTCCCGAACAATAGGTAGGTAGCCCCCTGCCGCTGTCGTTACAGATGGCGGCAGAGGCAGGTCCTCCCCCCTAGGTTCCGGACCTCGCGCTGGGGGTGGGGGTGAGAGGTGTGCCATCAAGGTTTGTATCATGGTCTCCTGGAATACGCGAAATTCATTTCGCATCTCCTCCTGAAATTCCCTAAACTCCGCAGCCTGAGGAACATGGTTGGGGACATTGTTGTCTCCCGTCGTAGACTAGCACATCGTGGCGCCATTTCACTGCACCACGGTCAAGGTAGCATTAGTGGTGACCTCAGACAACACATCATATGTACGGTTCTTTGCAACAATTGTTTTTGGGACATGGTTTTCGAAAACATTTTCATTGTAAAAATCTTAAGGTAGTGAGGCGTTCTTTCCCGTGGAAGGAACGTTGCTCTGATACCAAAAGTTGTGACACCCGTATCCTGATTCCCGTCCCAGGATGTGCCAGATAGACTAAAAGCAATAAAATATTACAAAACTACAATACGGGAATTTTTAAAACCATTTTAATATTAAACACGCAATGGATTTAAACAGCAGTTAAGTCTTAAAACACACATGTTCGAATTGAAGAGGTACAACCGTACAACATAGAAATTGTATCCCATAGTTCAAATCATACAATAAGGGAAACCTCGTATACGATGTTGTCTTTTCGAAGTCTTCGTCACCTCAACCGTGCTACTCGTGCTCCTCGTGATATGAAAAAGGTGAAGCCACGAGGGCTAAGCACAACTGCTTAGTGAATGATCCAGGTCGGATCCGTTAAACTCGTTCCCAACGAGAACGGTATTAAAACGATAAAACACAAAATATATTATTCAACGTTAAACATATATTCATATCATATTAGAACATCATCATATCAATTCCCGTATGACTTCACACTATCGGGCTAGCCGTAAACCCTGGTCACTTCTCATGACCAGGAGCGCCTCTCACGCCCGTCACATCTCATGACGTTGGCCGTCGCATCTCACGACAATCAAGTATGTATGGCTTCGCACCATAGAGTTAGCCGTAAACCCTAGTCACATCGCATGACTAGGAGCGCCTCTCACGCCCGTCACATCTCATGACGTTGGCCGTTGCTTCGCGCAGCAATCAAGTCTGGTATGGCTTCACACCATAGGGTTAGCCGTAACCCTAGTCACATTGCATGACTAGGAGCGTCTCTCACGCCCGTCACATCTCATGACGTTGGCCGTCGCATCTCACGACAATAATGTGCCTCACGCGCACGTCACTTCTCGTGACGACCGATGTCACTTCTCGTGACCCATCGAAGAATAAACCCAATCATCATACAACGATTCACTCGGTGTAGGTCGCACATCTCACCATGCATTTAAATTCTTGATTTATTCCGATTCTTCCCTTTTACGTTTTGTCGTGTTCCGACTCATTTTTCACATAGTTTGGTCGATCCCAAGGTTTATATTACATCTCAAGGCCTTTTTGGCTCAATTTCATCACTTTTTAGTCTGGACCGGTTAGTCTAAGTACTCCCGGGGTCTAGACCGGTCGGTCAGGCATTTTTCGGGGGGTATTTTCAGGGTCTGGACCGGTCGGTCCAGAGCCTGGACTGGTCGGTCCAGAGCCTGGAGACATATATTAATTTCGCAATTTCGTGCCAGATTCCGGTCCGACTTCGTTGGCTCATAACTTGCTCATTTCTTGTCCAAATTGAGTGCCGTTTGTTTCTAAATGCTCATTGAAATGCCCTCTTTTGATTCGAACCTCAATTTATTCAATTATTGCATCCATTTTCTGGGTACCGACTCGAAAGTGTCGGACTCAGAACATGTTCGTTTTCTTTTATGAAAATTACAGTTTTTCTTCGATTTTCAAACTTCCATATCTTTGTCGTTTCTTCGCCAAATCGTGTTACGTTTGTTTCTATGTGTTCATTGGAATTCCACTTTCTAATCATGTCCAGGTTTCATCGAAATAACACCATAACAATGATGAAAATGAGCTCACACAGAGGCAACTCGAGCCATTCACCTCAAACCAGAACTGTTTCTGGTTTTGGCCGGATTTGATGGGGTTTTCCGGCGAGGCTAGCTGCGGTGGTCCCCTCAGACGTTCTAAGGCTGCCTCTTGTCACTTCCTCAAGCTCCTTTCCTCCTCTCTCCTTCTCTTTCTCTTTCCTTCTCTCTCTTTTCCTCCCTTTTCTTCTTCTTCCTCTGGTTTTTCTTCTGCAATTTTTCTTCAGCAATAATGGTGATAAGCACACTTTGAGGCGGATTTTTAGAGGCAATGAAGGTCTGGGGTCGAGTAGGGTTGTTTAGGGAGATTAATGCTCAATTATGGGTGGTTAGGTCGGGTTTTCGCCGCCTGTAGGACCCTGAATCCACTTCCATCGCGCAGCTAAGATCGCAAGCTCGCCAGATATTTTCTCCTCGCCTGGACCGATCAGTCCAGAGCCTGGACCGGTCGGTCCAGAGGTTTTTTTTTTTTTTGGTTGGATTGGTCTCGCTATGGTCCAGACCGGTCGGACTACGTGTTAGACCGATCGGTCTAGACATATTCTTCCTTCCTCTTGTCGTTTTCTCGTATTTTCCCATCTCGTTCGTTCGGGTGGTTTCCGAGCCTCTTTCCAACACTTAGTGGTTCATTTCTTAAGGTTTAGTACCCGTTTATGTAATTGTTCTTCTCCGAAATTAATTAAATATCCCAAATTGGATTCGGGTTATTACATCCGGCGCCACCGCTCATCTCACCAATCAACCAGGTACCCTTCACACTGTTTTTAATTCGAGCATTACACCTTCTGTCACCGTCGGTAATGGCAAACTTTGGCTGCACATCTCATTGCTTGTTCTGATCCCTTCACAATGTTCTTGTCACTCCTTCTATTATCAAGAACTTGGTTTCAGTGCGCCAATTTACTACCGATAACAATTGTTCTATTGAATTTGGTCCCTTTAGTTTTTCTGTAAAGGATCGTCCAACACAACAGATTCTTCTCCGATGTGACAGCACCAAGCCTCTCTACTCTCTGACTGAACCCACACCAACCGCCTTCCACACACATGTTGCTCTTCACTCCTCACCAATCACAATATGGCATCGACGACTAGGTCATCCGGGCAATTCCGTTTTCAATTCTTTGCTTTTTTTCGGTTTTATCAAATGTAATAAGCCAACCATGTTTTTGACTTGTGAAGCATGTCATCTTGGCAAGAGTGTTCGACTACCTTTTTATCGATCTCAAACGATTTTTTCGGCCCCTTTTGAAACAATTCTTCTGATGTTTGGACTTCACCTATTTCTAGTGTTAGTGGTCTGCGATATTACGTTGTTTTTCTTGATTATTTCACACAATTTTTATGGGTTTATCCTCTTCGCCGTAAGAGTGACATGTTCTCCAAATTCCTCTATTTTGCGTCCAATGTCCACAATCAATTTTCAACAACCATTAAATCATTTCAATGTGACCATGGAGGAGAATTTGACAACAAACATTTTCATTCATTTTTTGATGAACACGGCATCTTAGCTCGGTTTTCATGTCCTCATATCTCTCAACAAAACGGAAAGGCCGAGAGAGTTATTCGTACCATAAACAACCTTATCCGAACACTCCTACTCCAAGCAAAGATTCCACCCACATTTTGGGTTGAAGCTTTACATCACAGTGTTCACCTTTTAAACACTCTTCCTTCAAGTTCCATTAACAATGAAATTCCATGTACAAAACTCTTCGGCAAGACAGTCTCCTATACTCATTTAAAATTTTTTGGATGCCTATGTTTTCCAAACCTTATTTCCACCATACCTCACAAATTATCACCACGTTCTACACCTTGTGTTTTTCTTGGTTTTCCATCTCATCACCGAGGGTTGTCTTGAACTTGAGTCACGCAAAATAATTATCTCTCATCACGTTGTTTTTTATGAAAACTCATTCCCCTTCTCCACCGACACACACTCGAGTCCAACATCGTATGATTTCCTTGATAATGATACCGAAACATCGACATTTTTTCGAACACTACGAGAACTGCCCCTAACCATGTCGTCGATGCCAATTGTTCCCAACGAACCCTCCAACATACATCCACCTGTCGAACCCGACATCCCTCCTTCGACAACCACTACTAATCAGCCTTCTATACCACCATCTCGGCCCTATTCTGAACCTTCAATACCACCGTCATCCTCCACTACACATTCCATGACCACCCAAAGCAAGTCGGGCATTTCGAAACACAAACAAGTTTTCTCTCTTTTAGTCGAACCCATTTCACCTTTACCCAAATCTCATTTATATGCACTAAGGAACCCTCATTGGCGAGGTGCGATGTTGGAAGAATATAATGCTCTTATTAAAAATGGTACGTGGGAATTTGTTCCCCGACCTCCCGTGGCTAATGTGGTTCCGCCGATGTGGCTTTTCAGGCATAAGTTTAATGCAAATGGCTCTCACACTCGGTACAATGCACGTCTTGTGGAAAATGGGAAATCACAACAACCGGGACTTGACTTCGGAGACATCTTCAGCCCGGTCGTGAAACCGGCAACAATACGTGTCGTTCTCAGTCTCTCATTGTCTAGACAATGGCCCATTCACCAATTGGACGTCAAGAATGCATTTTTACACGGCAACCTCGATGAAAGAGTGTACATGCACCAGCTCGCGGGA